TAGACAATTACAAAAAGCGGCCTTACTAGGAACTGCTTCCATCCTGCGACGATATCTATAATACCATCAAACATCCACATCTGCCTATCCCAGGTCCTTGGTAAGGACTCAATAGGTAGACAAAAATACCAAATCCAGTCTGAACATCTGGCTGACTGTGCGATGATCAATAATAATAATAATAATAATAATAATAATAGTAGTAGTAGTAGTAGTAGTAGTAGTAGTAGTAGTAGTAGTAGTAGTAGTAGTAGTAGAAGAAAATTTGGAAGGAACCTTGGAGGTCATCTAGTCCAACCCCTGCTCAGGCAGGAAACCCTATACCATTTCAGACAAATGGCTGTCCAGTCTCTTCTTAAAAACTTCCAGTGTTGGAGCATTCACAGCTTCTGAAGGCAGGTTGTTCCACTGATTAATTGTTCTAACTGTCAGGAAATTTCTCCTTAGTTCTAGGTTGCTTCTCTCTTTGGTTAGTTTCCATCCGTTGCTTCTTGTCCTGCCTTCAGGCGCTTTGGAGAATAGCCTGACTTCTTCTTTGTGGCAGCGCCTGAGATATTGGAACACTGCTATTGTGTCACCCCTAGTCCTTCTCTTCATTAAAGTAGACTTAACTTAATAACTGTACGATTCGTTTATGAATATGACAAAAAGGTCGTAAAATCAGGCAAAACTCATTTAGTTGGCTAGCTTCATAAAATGTATTAAACCTCAAAATATGATTATAAACTAAACAAACCCCAAAGATAGCATATGAGGACTTAGCATGTTTTATGCACCCTAATCCACAGGTAAAGTGAACAAATTATGATTTCTGAATCATAATGATTATTAAGATTCTCTGTGTCAAATACAGAATTAAGTCATGTTCTGGGTTTGTGTTAAACCAAATTTAAAAAATGACAATGCAGGGTTTCACATAAATAGTCAAATCATACTTTGTTACAGTCCAAAGTGAAACTCAGGAAGAAAATAAAAGGACAAATTGGAAACATTGTCTGGCTCTCTGTCCTAAATTACATGAAATTTAGTTTAAGATTAAGTTTAGATGGACTAAGAACAATAAATCTTAGCTTCTTCAATAAAGACTGCTTCCATGTTTCCATTTTGCTAACCAATGTATATAACATACTTGTTATGAGAAATAATGACTAATAATTTATGAAAAAGCCTAATTTTCTGCAAAATTCATGGTTAATTTCCTTATTTCCCTCATCATGTTGTGAATAAAAATAGCTTTTAAAGTAGCATTAGTTTTTTATTTTACAAAGATAACATTTCATGATCTATTCTCATGCCGTTAACAGCATCAGTAAAGAAAAAAAAATGCTATAGGGATTTCAGGCACAGAAGATTTAAATCTTTTCTTCTTTTGTCCTCTTTGCACCAAAAAAAGTCCAGCCTAAAAAGAAAGGTCATTCCTTCTTTACTTTTTGTAAAACCATAGTATTTATATTCTTTATACAAGCAGCATACAGACAGCTGTTTCCAACTGTAACATGGATTTATTACTGGCACATAGTATTTCACCAAGATGAAAACCAGTATAATGAATAATACCTTGTAGTTCCCACAATTTCAAAGGCTCTGTATTATCACTGCTTTCAATCAGGTATTTTTTCAACTCTTTCAGATTGTCTTTGAGATCAGGATGGTTCTCCCTGGTTTATAAAATATAAACACAATTAACATTAAAGAGCATTTATACATATGAGATTACCGATAAAGAGTCATAGGGCTGGAAGGATATCAAAGATAATCAAATTCAACTCTCCTGCTTAGTACAATATTTGCTAAAGCATTTTGGACAGATAGCTATCCAGACTTTGTCTGTAGAGCTCCAGCGAAGGGGAATACAGTATATCACTTCACAAGTCAGCCAGTATCACCAATTGGAAGCTCTTCCCATCAAGAAATTCCTCCTAATATCTAATTTAAGTCTATTTCCATGCCACAATCTATTTCAATTACTGGTTCTGGTCCTGCCCTCTGGGGCATGAGAGAACAAGTCTATTCCCTCTTCTGCATGTCAATTATTTAAATATTTATGCATTTTATAGTTTTAAAACCCACCCAACTAAAAAGATTCTAGACAGGTAAATAAATAAATAAATGCAACAACAGACTAAATCAAAGTTATAAAAAAATCCACAGTGATAACAAATCAACCCTTCCTAAGGAGAACGCCACTAAAACTTTGCCTTTTGCTAAAATTAAGACTGTTCTTTAATATTGTTCCTTTTTTTTCCAAAATACACTAATAGAAAGTACATGTTGCAAATTAATAATTTTTTGAACTTTAAATTTATACTATTTAAACTAAACGTGATGCCCTATGAAGCCATTCTGTTGTTGTTTTCCATAAGTCAAATGAGGCAATTTGGATGGTTTATTTGTAATGCATGCTAGTAATTTCAAAGCTTAGCCATACAGGTAGTCTTCGACTTACAACCACAATAGGACCTAAAATTTCTGTTACTAAGCAAGAAAGTGGTTAATTGAATTTCACCCTGTTATATAACTTTTCTTGACAGAATTGTTAAATGAACCACTGCAGTTGTTAATTTAGTAACATGGTTGTTAAGTGAATCTGGCTTCCCCATTGACTTTGCTTGTCAGAAAGTCGCAAAAGGGGATCACATGACCTCGGGACACTGAAACCGTCATAAATACATGCCAGTTGCCAAGCATCCGAATTTTGACCACAGGGATGCTGCAACAGTCATACGTGTGAAAAACTGTCATAAGTCATTTTTTTCAGTGCAGCTGAAATTTTGAACAGTCACTAAACAAATAATTAAAAATCAAGGACTGTCTATACAGTGTGCTGTATCTAATACCTAATTCAGACGTTTGGTATAAAAGTCAGCAACTGTATTGTGATTTAATGTTAATAGCTATTATTTTAATGCTTTAATGTTTTTTCTTGTTTTTATTGATTGTAAGCCTTCTATAGTTGCCTTTAGGCGAGATGGGCAGCATGTAAGTTTAATGATTAAATAAATGATAGAACTGTGGAAGGATTACAAAGATCTAATGCAATCCCTGCATTGTGCAGAAAAACCCAGTAGAGCTGCCTGTCCAACCGTTTTTCAAAAAATGTCCAGGCACAGAAAACCTATAACCCCATTGTTGGAAACTTGTCTTTTGGTAAACAAATCTTACTGTCAATAAGTTTTTCCTTATAATTATACAAAATATAGATAATCAAATTAAATCTAATACATAAATCTAATAAATCTCTGTCATTGACTACCATAGCATTAAATAACCAACCCAATACTTTAATTAGAAAAAACAACACATCTAGAAATACAGAGCTTGACTATGAGTTTTGTAAAGTCACAAAATAAAACAACAGCTGGATCTGTCCCTATGGTAAAACTAAAATTCAGTCTTACAGTTTCTAACTACACCAAACTGCTCCCTGATCATTTTTAAAAATGCCTTTATTAAACAGAAAAGGAAAAGTAATTTTGAAAAAAGAAAGAAAAGAAAAGCAATAAATGTTTATTTTCACACACACAGAGTATATGTATCTATGTATGTAGATATATATAAATTAAAGGATATAATTTATGCAGTTGAATAACTGTTATGAAGAACATATACAATATATACACAGAGACACAAACATATATACATACATACACATAAATGTTTATGTATATATAGTGTACAGTATACACACAAACACACACACACACATATATATACCATATATATATATATATATATATATATATATATATATATATATATACACACACACACATATATATATACACACACATATATATACACACACACACATATATATACACATATGTATATACATATATACACACACATAGGTTACCCTGATGATGCTGGCAGTGGCCAGCGAAAGCTAGGTATATTTTATTCCATTAAAACTTTTTATAGTTTTATAATTTTCCTGGTGGTTGTGTATTTTATGTCAGGCAATATGAATTCACCCAGGAATCAGTGTTTTATTTTTAGTACTCTTAGCAACACATATATATATACAGTGTGGGTGTATTCATCATAACACTAATACAACTGCACAAATTATATCCGTTAATTATATATCTCAAAACATTTGCAATTATTAATTCAAATTCACGTTCTAACACATTTATTATATCATAAACTGATTTTTCAGTACAATTCTTTTAATCTTTGAAATATAATAGAGTCATTCATTTATTCAAATGTAAGATATAGGATTGGAATTGAAATCAACTTACGTTAATGTATCAAAGAGAAATCCTTGGACTTCACTATTCTTATTATCTTCTTCCTCTGTTCTATTTCTTGTAGCTAAATATACATCAGAAGAAAATATGACAACACATTCAATTTGCAAATGATTGTTTTCCCTCCCCAAAATGAGCAAAAATAAATTATTGACAAGGTTCCCATTAGAAAAAAACTGAAGCCTATGGTTGACGTACATTCCAATTCACATAGCTTTCATCTACAAAAAAATACCAACAGTACATTACTATATTGATTCTTAATGCCATGACTACTTTTGCCATTTCCCCCCCAAAAGAACTAATGATGTGTGTGTGTCTAGAAAACAAATACTAGATGAATTACTGACCCAATAACGTATTTTCCATTATCTTCAATCGGGCTATGCAAAAGTTTCCTGCCTCAAAAATCTGGCACATATTTTGTCCTAATATTTATACCACGCAGGGAAGAAAAATGTACCTCCAGCCTGAGATTCATCCACTGCTTTGTATTCTGTACTCTTTATTGCAAGTTCCACACCATATCCAGACAAATACATCTTCTCAGTGCTACGTTTCTGGATTAAGCATGCATAGTTAAAAATAAATTGTTATGAAATCATTGCTAAACATTAGGTTTCCAGGGAAGAAATGGGACATTTCTAACACTTAATTAATTGAATCACTATTCAACCCAGGATTCGTTCCCTGTGCACTTAATGCTACTTGAGAAAGGTACTACAATCCTCTTTTCTGTGAAACAATGATACCCAACCCTTTCATTTATATAGACCAAAATGTCACTGGAAACCTATAGGCCTGAGATCAAGAATGCACAATCAACACAGCATCCACTTATTATTATTATTTGTTGATAGTGAAAACTGACAATATCATCAAAGATTTTAAGATTCTTTAAGCCCTCTTGTGAAGTTCTGTTCATTTAAAAAAATATATTTTTATTCAGGCATCATGGTCAATGGGCTTGGGGCCAGGTTATCTGAGGGAACATCTTTATCCAAAGGTTTCCACTCATCTGATCAAATCCAACAGACTGGCTGATGTGATCCACAGCACTCCCAAAGAGGACCGACTGGCAGGAATTAGAAGGGTTTTTCTGTTGTAGCCATTGCCTTAAGGAATATTCTTCCCTCAGAATAAGAATGGCTTTTCACAAAGCTTTACAAACTTGGCTAAGTACTGTACCTGGGCCTGGGGCTCAGAATGTGTAAGACGCCCCAATAATATTGGCTTTCAAATTAGTTCATTAATCATCACAGCTGCTGTTTATACTTATTTATTTTGTGTATGTTTTTATTGTTTTAATGCTTTTTAAATGGTTTTACTTGCTTTAGTATTTTAGAATTGTAAGCTGCCCAGAATGATTGAGTTGGACAGCTATAGAAATTGAATGAATTAATGAATGAATCAATCAATCAATCAATCAATCAATCAATTAATTTTCAGTATCTTCTGAAGAACACAATTTGGGAATCTAAAAAAAGAATTAAGTACTAAATGCTGCAAACATTGGAAACTTGAAAGAAATCATTTTATTCTAATGTTAGTTAACAATAACATTTCCATATATACCTACCTTGACAAAATGTCGGAGAATGTAAACAAATTCACTCTTTTGTGCTTTTTCAGATAAGACATTGTGAAATGTGGCAAAATCTTTGGTACCCACTTCAGCATAAAGGATCACGACTAGGGCAGGTTCCTTGAGTACAGGGAATTTATGATCTCCTTTGAACAGATACGGTTTGGGCCTTGGATTAAGAAAAAATAACCTTCCGCTCAGTATGAATTATACTTCAGTGAATGTGCCAAAAAACGACAACTAGCAAAGTGTAAATCATGCAAAGCTAAAAGTTACCTACACCAAAGTTAGTTTTATTGTGTTGGTGGGGACTACCCTATGATACTTGGACTATAACTAGCTATGGAATAGCATCAACAAAGCAATGAAGCTAGTTGTGGAACAAGGAATAATAGAAGAGGAATTGAGTAATCTTGAACAGGTTTCTATATATCAAGACATGCAATTTAAAGAGACAGAGACATTATGTTTACAACCTAATTGGGAATCCATATTGGGAGAAAATGTGGAAGATCAACAACTAATTGTATTTGACTCATCTCAATTGTTAAAAACAACAAAGATTGACATT